TTAATTGGAGCGTAATTATTGCAATTATTAATTGGACATATCTGGTCGGCAGGTGTCGAACCAGACTGGCAGCTGATACCTCAAATTAGGTAATTCGAGAAATCTATATTTCGAGTTTTCGACTCGATCGCATCCAGAGATAAATATTTTTGTCACAAGAATTTGCATTTGTGCAAGCTGCATTGAAATTTAATTAATTAACGTTTTTTTGAGCAAATCATTTTTTTTTGATGATTTTGACAGGTAAAAATTTTGATATTTAATATATTCTCATTCAAAAGTGTCCAATGAATCCAATTTTGTCAAGCTTTTTGTCCCAAAATCAATTATTCTTAAATTACAAGCAATCAAAGCTCAAAGTTGTCAAAAAATCGTATTATTGAAGCAAGCAAGCAAATTATTTCAAATAATGCAGTTTAAAGACCTTAGAAGAGATAGTGCGAGGTGTTGCATATGCAATAGACCATTGTTGTGAGTTATCTTGTTTGGATAATTTTATTCATTAGTTGAATTCACACTGATTGTGTGTACTATTTGTCTGAGTGGTATTGATTCGCTTGGTTAATTAGGAGAAGGCGATTCACTTAACCATTTATCATCTTTAAACTGGTTCTTATCGTCGTGCCATCTAATTAAAATTGCGTTTTGTTGAATCTGAATCGTACTTAATTCTGTAATAAATATTGTGTGAAACGCCAACTACTGGCCTAGCTGGGGTACTACCCACATTTCGAAGCGAAATTATACTACTTTTATCCAAAATTTTTATTCCAAAAGTTTTCAAATGGTGGTACCAGAATATATTAAAATAAAAATCTATCAGCAGTACCACCAAATAAAACTGATAAGAAGCATACTAGGGTACCACCTACATTCCAATCTGAAATCAACTCAATTTTTTTAATTTTTGTAAATAGTAGTACCACCATACATTTTTTGGTTTTAAGATGTGTAACAAGAAAAATATTCAACTCTCGATTTTTTCACTACATATGTCACTTTTTCACTTTAAAATTGTTAACTAATTTAATATTTAAAGACAAATCGACTAGTTTTGCTGCATTTCTTTCAAAAATTGACAAAAACCGATTAATTTTCAAATTTTTCAATTAATCAAATCAAAAAATCAAAGAATTGTTTAAACAGACGTTATAAATACGTTTTTGAGGACAAAAAACCTGACAAAAGWAGATTTATTGAACAATTTTACATAAAGATATTAAATATCAAAACTGTCAAGTGTCAAAATTGTCAAAAACATTATTTGCTCAAAAAAATATTTTTTTAACAATTTTTAGCTTAGAAAGCTTATAGTTTAAAGACAGTTGAATTTAGCACAAAAAGCTTGACAAAATTGGAGTTATTGGACAATTTTATATAAAGACTTTTTAAATATCAAAATTGTCAGGTGTCGAAATTGTCAAAAAAATATTTGCTTGAGGACACGTTTAATAATACGATTTTATTGAASTGTGACAAGTTGTAGTTTACGAACAGCTGACTTTAGAACAAAATGTTTGACAAAATTGGATTTATTGGACAACTTTAAATGAGAATAAAATAAATATCAAAATTGTCAAGTGTCAAAATCATCAAAAAATGATTTACTCAAAGAAAACAGCTTATAATTTAAAAACAGTTGAATTTAAGACAAAAACTTGACAAAATTGCATTTATGAGACAATTTTAAACGGGGATATATCAAATATCAAAATTGTCAAATGTCGAAATTGTCAAAAAAGGTATTT